TGATTGTGACTGTGATGATGATAGTGTTGATGAAGATATGATGATGAATGATTGTGACTGTGATGATGTTAGTGTTGATGAAGATATGATGATGAATGATTGTGACTGTGATGATGATAGTGTTTTTGTTATTGTTTCAGTTGCCACCTACCCATTTGATGACCACAATGCTCCACCATTTGAGCTCATTAAACCCTTCTGTGATGATGTTGACGAATGGTTAAAAGCTGACAAGAGGAATGTTGCAATCATTCATTGTAAGGCTGGCAAGGTATTTAATGTATTTTATTGTTAAATAATAAGCTTCAGGTAAACAAGTCCTGGAACCTCATGRAAGCGTCAGATCATGGAACAACTCTCTTGACTAAAGGACTTGTTGTTAGCATTAAAGTCTGATTGTTGTTGATAATTGATGTTGTTGATGATATTGATGGGGGTGGTGGTGATGATAATGATGATATTGATAGCGCCAATGATGATGGTGGTCATGATGATGGTGATGAAGATACATGATGATACATGGTGCAGTGATGAAGGTGGTAATTTCTGTTGGTGATGGTGATGTTGAAGATGATGATAATCTTAATAATGATGCGAATACTCATCTAATTGATACTCGTCACATTTTTATACCTACAGGGGAGAACAGGAGTAATGATTTGTGCATACCTTCTTCACAATGGACATTTCAAAGACGTGAACCATGCTCTAGCATATTATGGTAATGCCCGCACGAGAAACTCCAAAGGAGTGACCATCCCAAGTCAAAGACGTTACGTCTACTATTATGACCACCTGCTGAAACACAGACTTACATATGAGCCGACAATGGTGTTGTTAAAAGCATTGGAAATAGTAACTATTCCCAACATGCAGAATGGAACATGTTGTAAGTACCAAAAATATCTATTTTAAAAAAGGTTGTCGAGGCAATAGGCCATACGTCAGTCCAAGATGGAGAGGAATTATTGGCATACGTCTAAACACGAATAATCTAGGTGTTTAGATGGTTTTGTTGACTACAGACATCACTAAATACCTCATTTCATCAATAACCTGTGTTCTTGTAAAGGATAATACTTGGAAACACTGGTCATTCCAGCTACCAGGTATTCTTGGATCTCATAATGACCTACTGTATCTCTTATTGGTTATCATCTTATTCTATCGCCATTGGCTCTCACAACCTTTTCTGACCTGGGTGTTATACATTGTGGAAGATACATCATTCTCTATCTGCTGGGAATTCCAATCTCACTTCATAGAAGGGAAGCTTGAATTTTTTCTTGAACTACATTTGGCTGTTTGTTGTTGTGTATTCAGGTATTCATAAGAGTGGTGGCATTTTTATTGTACAATTTACGATAAAAAGGTTTTTTTCATTTATTTTCTTTTATTATTTGTCAGGTCCTTTTTTTATTCTTTGGCAGTACAAAGTAAAAATCCACCAGTCTAAAATAATAGAGGTGAGTTTTTAGGCTTAAAAGTTTGAATGAACTGCATGAGGACTCACAGTCAATTAGTAAGAAAACCGTGAATACTTAAAATATGTCTTGAATGTCAATCATCTGGTTCTGACCAATCACATGTGACAGTTAATTAGTGAAACGAATTCATTCTCACATGCAATTGGTCAGAACACAAAACTTACCATTCCAGTCTCTTTTTAGGTGTTCACAATTTTCTTACTTTGACTGTAAATAGCTAATATTTTACTACCATTATCTTTAAAGTGCGACCCTAGAAGTTTGATGTCTCGTTTGCTGACTAGCATTTTAACAATTGTCAATTAAAGAACTGATATGACATTCTTGGGACTGTTACTCGGTGTCTATAATAGCAAGTGTTCGCAATAGCAAGAGTTAATTACAATCATTTCTTTGTCAAACAAATGTTTTTTGCTTGGGATTTTGCTCCTGTTTGCTATTGCTATTTAGCAAGTAGTCTGCAAGGCAAGAGTTGACTGTACATGTATTTAATGATTCTTACTTGATTTTGAATCCTTGTGTTGTGTTGTAGAGCTCAAAGAAGGGAGACAAAAGTATTCGTCTAGAACTCTCTCCACCTCTACCCATATGTGGGGATATTAAACTAGAATTCTTTCACAAAGAAAAGTTCAAAAAGGTTAGTATGATTTTTTTAGCCTGATCAAAGTCAGGGGATAGGCAACTCATAGTTTAAACCCTGTAACAACCTCTGGGCTGATCTAAGTCAGGGCACGGCTAACTCACAGATCGAACCCTGAAACAACCTCAGGGTTGATTTAAGTCAGGCCATTGCTAACTCACAGATCGAACCCTGAAACAACCTCTGGGCTGATCTAAGTCAGGGCATGGCTAACTCACAGATCGAACCTTGAAACAACCTCAGGGCTGATCTAAGTCAGGGCACGACTAACTCACAGATCGAACCCTGAAACAACCTCTCGGCTGATCTAAGTCAGGGCACGGCTAACTCACAGATAGAACCCTGAAACAACCTCTGGGCTGATCTAAGTCAGGGCATGGCTAACTCACAGATCAAA